TATAGAAAGAGGGCAGCTCCAGCCATGCTTTAAGCCCAAAACCCAGCCTGAAGATGACAAGTGAGACCTCGCCGAAACATTGCCAAGACAATCTCAATCTTACATGGGAAAAGACCCAAATACAAGACCAGCAAACACACACACACACACACACACACACACACACTGTTGTATCATTTTTATTATAAATGATTCTCAGGATAAAGCATATACTGACTTAAATTTGATAAACCAGACTTTTAGAATATTTTAAACCTAAATTGAAAGGTTTCAGATGGTTAAATTAGAGATTACCCATGACCAAGCTATTTATCTGCAACATGATTTCCTCAGAAATTAAGTGCCAGTATTACACCAATTTAAAGTGGCCAGCCTGTTGATCCAGATAGCTTTCCAACGGTACGTTAAGGTATATACTGAGGTTTTTGTTTCTATGCTGTTGGATAGTTATCCATTTTTGAGTATTTTTTTCTAAACTAAGATGTCTTTCTGAATTTTTCTTTTCTTAATTAGAATGATTCTGTTAGTAATGATACGATTGATTATGCAAGCTCCATTTTCTGTTTTTCTATTTATTTTTGTAATGGTTACATTGTAATTTTTTTATTATAAATAATAAAAATTAATTTTAAAGTCATTAATACAGAATAAGAATACTGACATTCCAAATATAGCCTGTTTTGTATGATAAGTAATGAAGAATGCAAAACCAACATTAATTGACAGATGGTTCTGAAAGTGTAAATAATGTCTTTCCAACCATGATATCTTACACTATCATGGATTCACAAACCTATGCAAGATTTGCTATCTCCTATTTAATTCTAAATACACTGTCACAGAAATACGGTAATTCTTTGTATTTTTCCTAGATAACTAGGAAAAGTAATAGCCTGCAAATTCTATTTACGCAAACTAATCAGAATATTTGGACCATTTTAGAAAGTAGTTACTTAAGCGAAAGTCAACTGCTGCTGTTTTCCTACGTAGATTAGTTCAGAAACATTGTAAAATGACCTCAGTATCAAAAAGAGAAGGCCATCAGCTACTCACCAAGTAGATATTCCCAATAAAAGGAACATATTTCCTGAAGATTTCTGAAGGCCAACTGGGTAAGATAAATAGAAAAAGACCAGCCTCCCAGAATCATGAGATAGATGGGGCTCTTCTAGAAAAAAAATAATAAAATGTTACAGATTAGAGAAAGCTCCTTAAGCATTTTTAACAGTTTTTATCACCTGCAGTATTCCAATGGCTTCACGTGCTGCACTCATTCTGGTTGGCTCTTTCAATCATGAACAGTTCCATGTAATAATCATAATGGATGTTTTTCTGGATGAAATTTTTAAGTACGCTCTGATTTTGAACCCTTGGATGTCTCAAGACCCACTTCTCAAAATGTATCAAGTAGCAGCTACAACATGTAACATTTTATGTGAAGATTTGGAAAAGGGGGGAAACTAAATGGACATCGCATAAGATGGCCTACCTGACACAGGTATATCATGTTCTGGTTTTGATACGCAAGTCTTTGCTTACAGACAATTTTTTTTATATATGAGAAGCAGAGGATTTAAGCTGATCATTTTCAGGTTTACCAAAAGCTCATCCTCAATGCTTTTTTCTTTGACTCTGTTTCTTTATGCTAGCAAAATAAATTAGTGTAAATGAAAACCTACAGCTAAAGCATTACAATACTGCTTCCTTCTAATTTGTGTGTCAAAGGCTGTTTTTCCTATGTTGCTTTTTAAAAAAATCTTGCTACATTATGTCTGCTGTTAAACCAAAATGAATCCTTTTGGTCAAATAGCAGACAACCGAACGTTTGCTTTTCCCCTTAAAAGAGATGTGATAAATCTAAGTAAGTTTTATCAAGGCATATGAGTATGGGACAAATAGATACGTAGTTTTCATGTAAAAATGGAAAAATCTACCCTCTAATAATGTAGACACAAACACATTACAATAGGCTAAAGTTAATGCTCTTCTATTCCAATACAGTCCTCTTGAGGCCAGTATGGGTGTAGATATTAAGCTGGAATATAAATTTCCTTTGTGTTAAATAACGGCAAAAATAATTTGGGAATTCTTTATCTCTGTATGCTTAATTCTGACTGTCTCTAGATAAATTACAAAATAAGGCAAGAAACTGCCATTAACAACATCATTTCCACTGAATCAATCAGGGTTAGGGATAATAAGAAGTCTATACGTGTATTTGTCCAATACTTAAGATGTAAAACCAAATAATTCTCATAATTAAAAGCTTAAGAGATTCCTGAGAAACCTATCAGACATTTAAAATTTTATTCTTTATTATCTCCAATGAACCAAAACCAGTAGGTTAAATGTATGAACTTCAACTTCCAGAATTCCCCAGCCAGCATGGGGAATTCTGGGAGTTGAACTCTACATATCTTAAAGTTTCCAAGGTTGAAAAATATAGATGCATATGAAAAAAATGGAGCACCATAAAACATTTCAGGTATAACCTAAACCTCAAAAACGTATAAAACAATTGAAATCAAAACTTCTACACTGTACCCAGTTCTAAAAAATGTGAGCATGGCTTTTGAACTTGTGTTCCAGGATTCCATTACACTGAATAAGAGTCTAGATATTTAGAGTTATTTACTTGTTCAAGTTGGTGCCCATTTAGTTGCTGATAATGGTATATTTGGAATTTTTTTCAGAACCCCACAGTAATTACTTTTAGTAGTTTTCCAGTAAGGTCCCTGCTTACAATAACCAAAGGCAAAGCTTACAATATTCTCTTCAACTCAATATATGCTAAGGAAAATTGTAGCACTATCAGCATATAACAAAACTGCTATTATCCAACCTGCCAGATTAGATGGCCTTGCACCACAGTATGGGTAGTAAAACTGTGAATAAATTGTTTTCTATACTAGTTAGGTTGATAAAATTCCCTTCATGTTTCCAAGCTTACTTAAAGAATAAAAACAAGGCAGGCATTTAGAGATTCAGCTTGAACCTTGGAAACAGTTTTCTTAATTCATTACCTTCCATATTTTTTTAAAAAAATAATACAAGATAACAATTAAAAGGGGGGAAGGGATTCAAAAAGGGAAGAAGTGAAAGGGGGGAGTTGTTTTTCCTCAGTACAGCTATAAAATATATAATCAGGTTATATCTTACCCTGCACATCTATTATTAGACAACCACACCCCAAATTTCCAGGCATTTGAAAGGCCTTTAGCCAGTTCAGACTATTTACTTTTCAGAATGTTGCCAAAACCCCTAACAAAGTTAAGTCATCATATTTTAACCCACCTTAGGCACAAATCTGGATAGTACATAGACAACAATGAGCAATGAACTCAGTATGCCAATGCTTATTCCAGTTGAATAGAAAAAGATTGAACTTCTGCAAAGAGATAGAATATTTCAAACACTATGTATGAAAATCTACACATGGCACAAGTTTAACAGTAACTCTAATAATTCTAGGTTTGGGGCGGATAGCCATTAAAAAGAAAGAAAATAAATGACAGCGAGGGCTGATGGGTAAAGAGGAAGACAAATAGAAAATGAATTATAGCAGCAGGAGGAAAAGTGAACAATACTCCAAAAACTAAGAGTCATAATGCTTTCCCCAAAGGGACAGACATTAACTTAGCTGCCAAATTACATGGTAGTACTTTAAAAGAGCAAACAATATGTGGAAGTCTTGCAAGAGTTGAAAATAATGACGCACATGCATTGAAATTTCACAAACATCTCTCTTCACTACTCAGAAAAAGAACAGAGGACAAAAATATCCTGTTACATGGAAGCCGATGGAAACAGGATTTGATATTTCCCAAATATTTCTCCAGTGAAAAGGGACAGATTAACACAATCACAAACTGAAAGAGAGATAGGCATTTACTAGATTAGATGGTTATCAGTTGTGAGCTGGCAAACATTATGAACTGGATTTTTACTTACCTACTCATCAAATCACCACAGAAAAACAGCAGCAGGCCCAGAAATGTAACAATGAAGAGCTTAGGATCAAGTGCTAAAAGAAATAAAATTATTATTTTATTAATCAGCTGGCTGAACTACTTAGAATATAATGGCAAATATATGTAAAAGATAAAAATATCTTCCCATCAATATGTGTTTCTGCTGCATACAGATTTTTGATAAACTGATTGTCAAAATGAAAAAAACTGAGAACTATTAAGAACCATTGCTGTAAAGTCTTTTAAAAAGGCAAACAGTATTTTCTTTTAAAATCATTCTTTCCATCATTCACATTTTTCTAAGAACCAACTGATTTGAAAAATGCAAACTGCATAATAAAACTAATTCACACACTTTATCTTTTGTACCTCAGAATATCATATACATACTCCCACGTAGTTCAGCAATTGTGAACAATTGTGTTTCAAAATGGACAGATTTTATATATACAAAGTGAGCTTGTCCTTATATGAGATGCTCCTCTCTTTTACCTCTGCAGACTTAAACCTACTAGACTTGTCCTTATGGTAGCAAATGCTGCCTTAAAATTTTGGAATGTAACATATATATATACAAAGTGAGTGATCATTCTAAATGTATTCAATTCTCCTTGCCTATCCAGGATAATTATATCCTTCAGACACAAAACATGAATAAAATATGTATGAAAAAGTAAAGGTATTCCAAGAATGCAAGCAACACATTCAGGAAACATATCAAGTTTAATTTCACAGGATCACAGAATTGTGGGATTGGAAGAGACCAAAAGGATAATCTAAGTCCATTCTTCTGTGAAGGAAAATCAGAGACCATCTTTGAGAAATGGCTGTCCGGCCTCTTCCAAACCTCCGAAGATGGAGAATTACCACACATAAAGACTATTCCATTTTGGAAAGGGGAGGGGGGGTGAGTTAGCACTGATTCTGGCAACTGCAATTAATAGTCTTTGTAGTTCCCTTGGCAAGATTTTCAGAATTGGCTTATCATCGTCTGCTTCCTAGGGTTGAGACAGTGTGACTGACTCAATGTCACCCAGCTGATTTTGTGTCTAAGACAAGACTAGAAATCATGATTTCCTGGTTTCTACCCTGGTGGCTTAACCATTACACACAAATGACTCTTGTATAGGATTTGGCATTAGAACATTTTCCCTTATATTTAATTTAGGTAGTTGTGTAAGCATGCCAGGTGATGCATCATCCACACCATGCTGCATGGCCATTGGTCACATAACTGCATTTGGGTTGCTTGGCAACCTGTTTGTATTTATAACCGATTGCCAAGTGCTTCGTGATAACGTGATTGTCATTTGCAATCTTTTCTGCTGTTTCCTCAAAAAGTCAACAGGGAAAAGTTGCAAGCAGAGGAGACATTGGACTTGAGGTCCGTTCTCCCAGTGTGTTGAGAGACTTCCCCTCCCCTCCATGCAGGAAAAGGAAATCCTCCTGTGCACTTGAGAGATGGATCTCAAATGTGATGAAAACACTAGTAGATTCCAGTGTTTTGAACCTTCTACATTGATAAAGGCTGCAATAGTTCACCTAAGTGGAGTAGGAAAAGGATTCCCGAGTATAATGGTCCGCATGGTCACTTAATATCCGCAACTGGGAAAGACGAGATTGAGATTGTTGAGCAAGGTAGTGACGTGACAATTTACTTTGCTTCACTCAACAACCGAGATTCTGGGCCCAACTGTAGTCGTAAGTGGTGGGCTACCTGTATTAGAACTAAGATAAAAGAAAACTTACTTCGAATAACACTGATGGCGTACTTGGAGTCTGGGTCTAAGGTCTCGACTTTCAAGCAAGTTTTTTTACTGAAAATGTCAACATTAATGTAAGTATCATTAAGCTTCTCTTTGAAGAGCAAGCCAACATACATCCATAAACTAAATCCATCCAGTTCTTTCAGCTTCTCCTCACTTTCAACTTGGATGACGCGGATCACCTTGGTGCTGTTTATTCGGATCTGGATGGAACAAAAAGAGATGGCAAAAACAAGGACAGTTCCATAATTAATTAAAAGATTTCTTAATGTTATTATTTAACAATTTGTTGAAATAGACAGCATTACATTTAACAAGTTATGTTCAATGCCCTTACAAAATACTTAACAACTAGTTTCAGGGGGAAATGCCAAAGAACTTAATAGGGTTTTGAAAAACTGCCAAATGAAATCTGAAAAAGCTTAGCATCTTGAACAGGCAACCTATTTATGGAGAAAAAGCTATTTAATCCAGTGATGGGAAAGGAGACTAATATTAAATCTCATTGTGAAACCAACTGAGAAATACAACAAACATCCAAAAAAGGTATTGTGGGAGAGGAACTCTGATCCTTTGCCTACTAGAATCATCTGACCTAATTCTATTCCCAACCTCTAGCACAGAGATAGGTTAAAATATAGCCTGTATGGATCAGCAACTACAACATGGTATTGCAACATTACTAAGCTATAGAATATAATCTTGTTCTTGACTGTCCATGATCTTTTTCTTCAAATCTTACTTGAATGGAATATAATTATATAACCGTGAGACCAAAGTTGGACCAAAGTTTTTCCTAGATGTATATAAATTAACTGCATCTAATGGAATAGCTTGAGAAGACAAGGAGAAAGAACAGCAGGACCATTCTTCTTACACAATTATTATAATACAGTAAGCTAGATCCTTAGCAATTTACTATACATTCCCCCGAATTTATAATTTGCTTTTATCTTCCACATGCTCCAAACTAATCAGAGTTTTAATGAAATTTCTATTAGAGTCACCTAGAACATATTTACAGATCTATAGTTATTCACTTTAATTTTGTGAGATTCACCTCAGGTACCCCACAAAAAATAATCTAATTCTTACCTGAATTTTAGTCCATATATCATGCCATTTGGGAATCACTTTATTTGAATAGCAAAACTGTTCAGGGGAAGTATTTTCATATGTTTGATGTTCTTTAAGTGACACTACATCTCCATCTATAGAATCCACACAAAGAAAAAAAAAACATTAAATACTTTGGCAAAATGAAATAATGTCATTTGAGTTAAGACAATGAGGCTGATTTATATAAATGAGGAACAGAATAATTATACCTAGTAAAATTCCAATATGCCTTTATCTATTTATTATATTTATAACCTGCTGAGACTTATTTCATGGGATTCAGGTAGCGTACTGTACATAACACTCCTTTGATTCCCCCCCCCCACAATATACCAAAACAGAATTTTGGTTAATAGTAATGGCAAGTGGACATGCAAAAGACTAGGTGACCAAAATCCATAGTAATGGCAAGTGGACATGCAAAAGACTAGGTGACCAAAATCCATCTTGCTTGTGTTAAATCATAGACCACACTAAAAAAAATCTAACTTAGGTTTCAATCTGAACATACAGTATTTAGATTTTTAAAATATTAATGGACTTCTTACCTATTTACTCTTGGTACTCTTGACACCAACCACCATAAAATTTATAAAATGTATAAACTATAATCTCAATAACAGAAGCATTAGCCACATTGTACCCAGATGATATGCATGAGGAACAAACTAATAATCAGATGTAAACATTTGTCCTTAATTTTGGAAGATGTGAAGAACAAAAAATGTAACAACAAATGCCACAACTCACTGGGAAACAGGGTATGCTACAGAGTAGCAATTTTGCCTAATAATCCACTTGATATTATTTATGTGAGTACAGTACTCGAAACAACAGTCCATATTGTCTTGTCACACTACCGTGGTTATCCAAGTGATATTTCACCATGATTAATTCATTCATCTTTATTTGGACAATGATTAATGTGTGTGTGTGTGTGTGTATCCCCACCCCCCCCGAAAATATTGCAACACACCAGCAGCCATGAGGTGACCACTGTAACTCAAAAATAATAAGACCTCCCCAAAAATAAGGCCTAGCACTTATTTCAGGGGTAAAAAGAAAATAAGACCCTGTCTTATTTTCGGGGAAACACAGTATCTCATATGTATATATCATATGTATATGTGTGTTGTGTATAGGTAGATGTATACTTTATTTTGAGTGTGGACAGAATTTCATTTTTAATGTGGGCCAGTGTGCTCGCAGTAAAAAATGACAATAAAGTTTACCTTCTCTTTTATTTCTTAAAAATCTCCCTTCACCAAGAAGCCTGATGCCCACAGATGTCCACCTCTATCATAGTCTAAGCAACCCACCCACACCTCAGACTTAAGTTGAGGGAAATTAATACTCGGGACAGCCCAAGTCATCACAACATGTTACTCCCAAGACCTGCTGGGATTCCAGTCCCCAAAGCCTGGCTGGGAATTGTGGGAAGCGGAGTCCCATTTGGAGAGGAACAGGATGGGAAAGCCTGACTTGGAGAAGGCATCCAGAGTGCCCTTCGTTCTCCCAAAATGATAAGGAATATCTTGGGACGGGGATTTTCGGTTGAGAAATCAACCTAAGCCCATCGTCGCTTACTAACAATAACGGCACTGAGGGACCCGGAGCCTCCGTTACCGGAAGAGGCTCAGGAGGCAAAGGGGCAAAAAGGCTGGGGAACGCCCTGAATTATCTCGCACTCCTGTCCGCTTACCGGAGCTGCGCGCCAGGATCGAAAGGACCATAACTCGTAAGAGGAGGCGGCAGCCGTGAGGCCACTCGGAGGCTGTTTTCATCTCTCCCGCCATAACCTGCCCGCCGGTCTCTCACCCGCCCCCCATCGTAAGATAACCCTTCCCTCCGCGGTGGCCCCCGCAGCCTATCGGAGAGCGAGAGCCACTCCCGCCAGCACGAGAGTCAGCCGCATCACCCAATTGCAAGCCGCTTGACGTTAGGGAAGGCCGGGCTTAGAATCCGCCTTGCCAACAGTCGCCTTTGACCGAAGTGACAGGAACCAATCAACGATCAGAGTCGAGGCTCTTGTGAGGTAAGGCACACCGAACATACGGCGAAATTGATATATGGTCTCTCCACTCAACGAGGAGGATCAAGCAGCTCGTCATTAACCAAACCCATTTTATCGCCCCAATTGGTTGGAAGCTGACAACTTTCAACCAATCGAAGAGACAGAATTGAGAAGTGTGTGACAAACACCCGCCCTTCTTTTTTTCTTCGGAGGAAATGGCAGTACTTTTTTTTAGCAGGCAAAGCGGGGGGTGGGGGGTGGGAGCGTGTGTGTTTTCGTCCGCAAGACTGCAGAGTGATTTCCCTTAACAACCATCGAGGGTCTGCACTAGCAACAGCCTCCCGAATGACAGGCCGCAAATGGGACTCCTTGGGTGTGGCAGTGATGAAGGGCGGGAAACCAGAGTGCGAAGGCGTGCTGCAGTTTGGGGGGGGGGGGCAATTCGGATTGTACAGTAGAGTTCAGAGGCAACTGTGACAGGGACCTGGGAGTCTTAGTGGACGATCACTTAAACATGAACCAGCAGTGTGCGGCGGTGGCATCCAAAAAAAGCTAACAAAATCCTTGTTTAGACATACAGTCAAAATCACGTGAAGTATTAGCACAGTTCTATAAAGCTTTAGTAAGACACAATGGATGGAAACTAATCAAGGAGAAGGCATGTCAAATTGTCAAGGAGAGGACAATCAACCAGTGGAACAGCTGGCCTTTAGAAGTTGTGGGAGCTTTATCACTGGAGGTTTTTATGATTGGACAGTCACTTGTCTCAAAGAGTATAGGGCAGTGATGGCTAACCTTTTTGTTGTTGCGTGCTGAAAGTGTGCACACGTGTGCTGTCGCGCATGTGTGTACATCCATAATGCAATGTGTGGGGGTGGGGGACCCCAACGCTCCCCCTGCATGCATATAGTCCTCTGCCCCAGCGCATTCATGCATCTTCCACACCCCCTGCGCATGCACACGTGACCCCCTGCATGCACCACACGCACATGTGCACACACATGTCCCACATGCACCCCCACCTCCCATGCAGGCACGGCAGAGACCCCAAAACCAACTGGCCAGTGGGAGGCGCATGTGCATGCGTGGTGAATCTGAGCTGGGATAATGGCTCGTGCCTGCAGAGGGCTCTGCATGCCACCTGTGGCACATGTGCCACAGGT